TCTGAATATATGTGCCTTTTTTAAAGCTGCATCATAACGAGGTTATTCCATCAATACAGCAGAACGACTGGGAGCTGCAGTTGGAACAATATGTAAAAATACAGCTTGTAAAAGATTTCCTTTATTAACTGTCATCATCCACAGAATATATGTTCAAATAAACGTTGTGTAATAACTAAATTTGAGATTAATAGGCCCCTTAAGAAACAGGGAAGTCATTCAGGATAGTCAGTGAAAAATAGCCTGTAAGACTGTAACATGCACATATTGTCCTGCTTACATGCTCTCTCTGGTGTCATTGCCATTTATCAATGTCGGCACGCTCTGTTCTCATTAAAACACTCTTGCACAAAAGCAACTTAATTTTCTTAAGAGAAGAGGACACCTGATTCAATTTAGTGCTCAAAACCAGGAACTTGAATATATTTTTTTTTCCTGTCTGAACTCAGATGAATAGTTATGAACAGCAACACAGATTAAACCTTATTAGGTATATTTATATTCTGTTTGCAGTAACAGTGCTGTGGCAAATAGCTTTCTACAGAGATGTAACATCTTGTTATTGGAAACAGCAGTTAAGACATGAGCTGTGGTAACACTTACAGGAGATTTTATTTTTAATAGGAGATTGAAGGAGTTGTTTAAAGGGACTCTGCCAACTCATTCAAGTTACTTCTAATGTCCTGCCTTCTTCCACCTTTTCAAACTACACCGATGTTTTTGGGTAGATAAGATTTCCTTTTCTGTCCTGTTTGGTCAAATAATTTCCAGCACTTTATTTAGTCTTTCTTTTTCTTTTTTTCCCCCTTTCTTCTTCTTACAAATGGTTGTATTAAATTTTGCAATAATAGTATGGATGGTGTAAAATCTTAGACTACCATGTTGTGTTCTCTGTCCTCTATTGCATAATCCTGCACTAGAACTGCGAGAGTCCTTGTCTCTTCCCAGTTCTTTTCTGCTCTTGTGGGTTTTTCTTTCTCCTTCCCTGTGCCTTGTGTGTTAAATAGGATAATTAGTCTTATTGCTGCTGCTTGTGCTGCATATCCCACTAGTGTGTGGTGCATCCCCCTAGTGCTCAGGTTTTAACTGCAGGGAATGGCAGACAGACACACAACAGCTCTGGATGATGCCCGGGCTGCTTCCTTCCAGGATGTTCTGGGGCTGTTTGCTTTCATTACTCTGCATCTGTGGCCTTGACCCTGCAGTGTCCTTTCCTCAGAGCAGGGATGGCTTGGGGCCAGCCAGGCCCTGGTGTCCATGGAGTGTGCTGTCCCAGCTGTGGGGTGCCTGGGGGTGAGTGTAGGTTTAAATACATCTAGGAAAGCTTGGAAGCCCTCCCTAAGGGCTGCCAAATGACACTGCAGAATCAAATATTTTGGTATTGAAGCACTACACAGATATTGGTGAGAAAATTCTTACTTTTTCCTCTGAGGTCCACATAAAAAGCTTTCCCTGTGCTCTGCAGTAAAATTCCTGTCTAGTTGTGCATAACAATTTCTTTGGAATCCTGCTGATAATGATAAAATGTTGCTGTTTGACCCAGGTGTCCTAAATGTGGCCAGGATGTGTTTTCCTGTTGTTAATGTAGTCTGGCTATGTTATTATCAAAACAATATCTAGCCTAATAAATTCCAAGACAGTTTAGTTTGGTACTAAAACCAAGGCAATGAAACAAAATTCAGAATGTACTCTATATTTAATTCTTGAATTCTAAGCACACTTGTTTGATTTGCTGCCCAGTCACATGTACTTGACTGCTGCATGTAACTGATGCTACATTTGAATACACACCTGGAGGGACAGGCTCAGCCCCTGGGTAGTGGCTTTGCCCTTTTCTTCCATCTTTTACCAGCCTTTGTTGCCTGGAGGACTTAGATCTTGTTGCTGCCACTGTAGAAATCTAAGCAGTGTTTTCCATACGTGTATTACAGGAAAACGGAAGAGATGAAGGGCTGAAGCTTTGTGCTAGACTCTGGTATGAGAAAAGTTTCTGCCGAGTGCTGCCAGATAGGTGTCCTTCCCAGGTGGCGTGGTCATTTCTCATTTGGAATTCTCCTTGGAAATGTAGACCCCTCAGCATTATTCCCTTAAGCCCAGTGCCATGCTGAGTTGACTGAAATTGTACCTGCCCAACAATAAGTGAATTTGTTGTTTAATGGAGCTAATATGTACAATTGTTAACTCAAGTGATGCTGCTCATGCTCTTGTACTTGTCTGTTGAGAGTCCTGGCAGTGACTTTCAGTCATGTCTCTTGAGTTGGTGCAAACATAGAAATTTGTCTTGTGGTTGGTTCTGCTGCTTTTGAACGTGGTCTGACCTTACATTTCAATACATGGCTATGCACTCACCTTTTGAAAGGACTTCACTGTGGATTTTATAGAGCTCTCCCCTCATACTAATAGTAAATGCAATGAATGGTTTGCAAACACATGCAAATCTGAACTTGGAGTATTATAAAGACATCCAAATGTTTTCATGTTTTATTGTTTCATTTAAGCTGGCTGCAGACAGTCTGATATCTGTTGAAGCACAAAAAGAGCAAACAGTAAAAAAAGTGATGCAATAATAGTGACTAATAAATGTTTCAAATAGAAAATGAAGAGCCTGGCTGTATCATGTGTCAGCACTAATGTTTATTTGTATCATCCCTCTAAGGATTTCAGAGTGCTTTTTAAGGAATGAATTAATTTTGACAATGCCCTGTGAGGTATGTATCCCTTTGATAGAAGGGAGTTGGAAGCACAAAAGTGTTTAAATTCTACAGGGTTATGCTACTAGGTATGTTTAATTACAAATTGGAGCACTTGATTCAGTTTACTACCAGTTTGTTTAAACTGAGCCAGAATCACAAATATAAGCCCCAGGTTTGTGACTATGAGAAGAAATTACTTCTAAGTTTGTTTTGCAGGGAAAATGTTTACAAAGAATACTGCAGATAGAGTAATTGGCATATGTAAATCCTTCCTTGCTGAGGAAAATAACCTGGATAATTGTATCTTAATATGCAGTCTTCCTGGTTTTTTGTTGTTTTTTTTTTTTTCTCTTCTTTTGTCTGTAATGAGTGTTTAATCATCTGCTCTGGATAATTTCTGACACATCAGAGAAGGGGAGTTAGAAATTGTAAACTAGTGTACTCCAGAACTGGTTGTGAATTGTGACATTTGCACATGACTAGTTAAACAACTGAAGTATAAAATTTGTCCGAGGTTGTTGTCTTAGTCGCTGTTACGTGCTTGAGATTATTTAAAAAATCCAGATATCTTCCAGATGGATCAGGAAGGAATAAAAGAGGTTTGATAATGGGCAAAATACCACCATCTAGTATCTCTCCTTTACACCTTTCCAGACACAGAATTTCTCTTGAAAGTGTGATTGCAGCCTGTTTTAAGTAAAATAATGTGATATCTCCAGATGATCCCCAAATCAGGATTGGTAGCCATGTTCTAGGTGTGTTTGGATGAGTATATTGTGTCTTTGCCTTGCTACATGAAAGTGTCAGTTGCACAGCTTCAAATACAAGTAGAAAATCCTGATTTAATTCACACTTGTTGAAGAATTGTTTATACTACTCACGCTTCCTTTCAGCTATGATCTCTGGCAAGAGAAGCTGTTTGGACTTGTGCCTTCTTTTTTTTTTTTTTTTATGTTCAAAAAAGAAATGCTGATGAGAGAGAGGTGTTAAAATATGTTGCTGTAGTTTACAACTGTCAACTATAATGTTTTATTTAGCTGTATCTACTCAGATGCTCCCTCCACAACACGGAGTGCCATATGCCATTGTCCCTGTTAGTGAGCAAGTCAGCAAGGGTTTCCCAGCCTGCATTTGTTTTTGTATTTGGGCCACTGAGGAGCTGTGGTCCAGTGCCATCTTTTATTGATAGGGCCAGCAGAGGAGGAATCTAATGAAATTATCAAAGCTTTGAATTAATTATGAACTTGAATAAGAAAGCTAAGCTCTCTAGAGCCAAGGATCTCATTACCCATTCATTTTCATTGCATCCTCTTATGGAGCAGAAGGCAGGTTCAGCTACTGCTCCTGCCCTGATTTTGGACTTTATTCAAACTTGCTCAACTCACTAACAGCCTCTTGCTATTAATCTGTGGCTGGAAGTGTCCAGGGTGATTAATTTGACTCTAAATCGGCACATAAATGTAGATTTCCCTCCTCCCTTTCCTCTTACCTTTGCCGTGTGGCTTTTCATCATCAGACTGGCTGCCATACAAGAGTTTCTGTTCTTTCTTGGTAATTGGGGAAAGCTATGCAAGACTCAAGTTATAACTTCCTGGAATTTAATGAGTTCATAATAAGAAATAATACTGCTATCTTGTATTTCCTGGATATTTAGGTAAGCACAAACACTTCTTAAGTCATTATCAAAACTGTTTATTTTCTTATTTTAAAAGACTATGGAATGAAAAGTAATGACATTTTGGCCTCAATAGTATGGGAGATTGTGGGATTTCTTTTTGTTGGGTTTTTTGTTATTCCTATTTTAAATTTGTTTGTCAAGCTACAGGAAATTCTCTCTGTCAATACTTTTTTATGATGAGCTATTAAAGTAGTTTATTTACCAGATTAATATTTCATTAATATTTTTTAAAGTGTATAAAAATGCAGTATTTTAGTTAAATCAGGTAATGTTAATTTTAATTAATAGGTCAGTGTATGAAAATTATGAGAGTACGAGTAGTGAGACCAAGCTTCTGTGTAATATTCTTATTTCTTGTGGATATTCCTTTTCAGTCTATCGGCAAAGATTTTCTTCTCCTCCTGCTTTTGTCCCCTTCAGCACATTATTTATGAATGCATAAACCAGAATCCATCAGTCTTCATAAGTTACAGGCGACTGGCAATTTTTTAAGCAGTGGCTAACTGCCTAATGGTCTCTGTATGTGTGTATTTGGAGACTCTAATAGCTTGGTGGGTGGGGGAAGGAATTTTGTTCCTGCACTGTAGCTATTGCACCATTGGTGATATTTATCCTTTTTTTCTCTCTAGGCAGCTGCAATATTTAATTCTGCTTTTGGAAGTTTTTTGGTAAGTAACACAGTATTTCTGGCAAGTGCTTTAATAGTCTCATTTTTAACAGTATCATTGGTGTGTTTGGATTTTTTCACATAATTGTTGGTGGATTCAGATGGCAAAAATTTGAATCGTCTTCCAGTTTAAGTCACCATGCCCTTAAATACAGATATTGCAATTTCTTTTCTTTTTGTTAAACTCTTGAGAAAGGTAGTGAATAAATTGTCTCTGCTCATGGTAAATTAATAATGTGGAAACACATCTTAATTTTCTCCTTAATGGGTTAACAGAATCTATTATTATGCAGATGTTTCAGACATGGGCATCAATATATTGATTTTTCTAATAAGGCCCATCAAATACTCATTATTTTCTATCAAGAGGCCATGGATTTTGAAAAGAAAACATGACCCAGCTGATCAGAGAGTAGATGCTAATTTACTCAGTGACTTGTCATTTGTTTAGCATATTTTACTGTCAGTGAAGCCACTCGATGTCTCTGAGGAACACAATAAAATAGCTGGATATGGGAAAGCAATCAATCCAGCTGGAAATATAACTGTTTCTTTAAAAAGCAAAGGCAGTATTTGTGGTCCTGATGGTCTACAAACATTTAGAAATGACACAGCGAAGAACACTAAATATATTTATGAAAAAAGGAAGAATAGATTTCTTTTACTGATGTGTTGCTTAGAGAGATACTAATGAATGTTAAGTAAAAAATTATTTTATGTGTTGATTGATTGTTTATTTAGGCAGCTAATAATTGAATTTGCTCTTACTAAAATTTATGCATGTTTAGAAGAAAGTGTTTATGATGCCAGTCTTGTGTCCCAGTTTTATACTGTGATGTATAAAATGAATGAATGCTAAAAGAATCCAAATTACAAAATTGAAATAAAAATTGTGAGTAGAAAATAACTCACTTTTTATTCATGGCTTTTTTTTTATTTTGTGAAAAGCTGACTTTTAGAATCTGAAGTATATGGAACTGTACTAGCAAGAGACAAAGTCACATGGCATTTTGCAGTTGTGTTGTGCTGCTGCATTTTTGGAGGACTAGGCTGAAATTAGGAAGGTGGATATAAGCTTGTTGGGTATGGACGACCTCTCACCCTCTGATATTTAAAATATCAGTTCCCAACTACTTGTCCTTTGTGTTACCTGTAATATTCTCCTTCTATGGGGCTGCCTCAAACTGTGGAAGTGTTGGAAAAGCTGTGAAGTCTGTGAGTGTTATGTGAATGATATTTTCTCTTTGTTGCTTGGCATGAGCTCCTGGTTTCCCTGCTTCTCCAGCTTTCAGTTCAAGAGGTTTCTGTGAACACCCAAAAAAGGCTCAGTTCAGCTGCCACTTGGAGATACTTTTTGGCTTCAAGTATGAATTTAGGCTCCACTGCATCTGACTACAATGCTGGCTCCTAGTAAATCAACAGAGACATATTTTCAATTTCTAGTAGCTGTTTGCAGTTCTTTGAAGAAATCTGAGCTCAAGAAGCTGAGTTAGTTTTGTTTTCATGTAATACTCCTAATTTTGTTTTTGGTCTTATTTCATGATCCTTGGAAAGTTCTGCTTACACATAATTACCTCATTTCACTTTTTGTTCCCTTCAGGTCTTTTTGCAAGTGTTGGAGCATTGCAGTAAACATTGCAGTAAACAAGTTCCCAGAAAAGACTTTTCAAAAATATTAAAGATCAGCTAAAATGAAACCATAGTACCAGCTGATTTTTTCTAATTACAGTTGTTTTTTTTTTTTTTTAGAATAACATGGTAAAGACACTGGTTGCTATTAAATTACAAATATATCCACACATTTAAACATTTGTTAGGGTAATTCTACTTTGAAATCATGATTATGTAGGGAATACATGTGTATGGAACAAAGCAAATCACAAATATGTTTACTGAGTGCTTTGTTCTTGCAAACTTTTCCAGTCATTAAGTTGATAGGGTAGACCTTGTGGTTGACATGTGGTAGTAGGCCAGGGTCAGCAGTAAGCAGACAGAGTTGTTTACCAGTAGTTTCACAGTGGTGTGGGTCTACATGACCTTGAATTGAGCTGCTCCAGATATGGAGCACGGGCAAGCATGTGGTCACTTACAAAGAAAGCTTGCTGTTGAAAAACTGGCAAAGCATTAAGTACATATGTCTCTGTATATATAGCTGTTTCTTTGAAGTCAAAACCATTCTGTAAAATGTAAAAGTAATTGACTTGTTTCTGAGAACATAATGGAAGTGGTTTTGGGAATCCATCAGTTTGTATTGGTGCCTAACTTATGGATTTGGCTATGGGTGGACAACTTATGTCCTTCCTGTATCTTCAATTCAGGATGAATCTAAATCACATCTGCATTTTTCTTAGGAGTGTCAAATAATGAGCTGTGTGTGGACAGGCTTAGATGGAGTTACAGACCTTTGTGACCAAAACTTTATAGGGATTACTTAGAAGGCTCTGACCTCAGCAAAGCTGAAGTTTTTCTTGTGTTTCTTGTCTCACCACTTGTAGCACGTGGGCAGGTTGTGGCACTTGTGACAAAGCCAGGACAGTGTTTTCTCTTTTCAGACTATGCCCTGTGGGCCAGTGCCTGTGTGCGATAGTGTCAAACAGGCTGATTTAAAAGGGCTGAAAGATGTGCTGTGCTGATTGCCCTCCTGCCCCCACCACCTTTTTTTTTCTTAAGACTAGGAAATAGTGTTGAGAAGTTAAATTAAAGTAAGTTGTGGAACAAAATGTTTGCAGGAAAATACTTGGTGTAATGTTAGAATGATACTGAGATCACCTTATTCAGATGAAATGGAACATCTTGTGATATGCAAGATGTAGAAATGCCAAATATGTCTTGAGGAGCAGAAATGCACTTAGATTAGGGACCTGGGGATGTTTCCACTGGTAAAGATTTACAAAAACTGCCAGCCAACCACAAAGTAATTCCTTCTAACTCCCACCAAAGTCCATCTTCCTATAAATATACAGACAAAACAGTACATGGAACAATACACTACATATTTACATTATTTTATTGACTTAGTTTAATAACGTCTCAGGTCTAATTAGAACCCAGTGTTTGAAAAAACTAAGTGTTACAGAAATATGTTTTTATATAGCTAGATTAGTAATAACTAACGATAGATGAATTCAATTTACATAAATTTCAGCCAAGAGAATATTTAGGCTCATACCACAGAGGATTGCTCTGAGCTGGGTAGTTAATATCATTATCTCCTCCCCTCATTTAAGCAGTTGGGTTTACAATAATTGTGGAACATAAGAAGTGATTTCAGATTTTCTGCTTAACGGGGTTTTAATATAATCTGGTAGTGTTTTACTGATACAGAGTGGTTGGTTATCCCAAGGTTGCATGCACATGCTAAGATAGAAAGCACTGTGTTAGCTGTTTCCAATTGGAGGAGAGGATCCTTTGCACCTAAAGGCTGAAGAAATTGCCTGGAATGTATAGGCCTACTGGAATTGTTAATGTTGTAAGCATTGCCATACTTCCTAAGCATTTCTATTCTGCTTCTAAAAGAAGAAGACAAATCCTTGCAAATGTGCAAATCACAGAGCAATAGGCAGGAGACTGCAAAACATGCTGTGCTGCTGGTTGTTCCATGGAGTTTGCTGAGTGTTTCAGCTCCTTTGACTTTGTCCAGCTGTCACTGAGGCTGCTCCTGCCCTGGAGATGTGCTTGGCTGAGAGCTGCACTCAGCTTGCAGTGACACTGTAATGCCTTGTGTGTGGGACATGGACTTCCAGCACACTGGAAGTGTCCTCACAAAATGCTCTGGACTGCTAGACTGCACCAGTCTTGTCTAATCCTTCTGTCTCTCATGAATCTTCTTTCTGCTTTTTATGGGCTGGGAATCCCATAAGAATATCCAGCCTGTGGTGTGAGTCAGTGTAGGCTGGTTCTTTGGTACCTATGAACAGTTGGTGTGAAGGGAACAACCATCAGCTTCACCTTCAACAAAGAACTGAAACTGAGATCTGAAGGTCTGTGGGGACAGGAAGTCAAGAGGAAAATAGAGGATTCTGGAGACTCTGCTCTGGTGACCACTGGAATCCTGAGAAAACAGCAAAGTGTTGTTTAAGACTTCCTCCAGTGCTGCTATGGATTAGCTTTTCTTTCTCTGTTGAAACATAATAGATGAAATGAGACTCATGTCAGGTGCCCATCATTCCATTAATCTCTTTTGTCCAAACTAAGGATGTGTGGGGTTTTTTTTGTTATGTGACCATCCCTCAGAGGGGACAGAGCTAGTTCATGCCGTTCAAAAAGCTCAAATAATTTTTGTAGCTGCCATGTGGCTTATGAAATCAAGGCTAGTATTTTTATTTACATTGTCTTCCAAATGCAAGCTAAAGTTAGCAGAGAATAAAGTTAGCTTCTCACATATACCCAAAGCTTAGCTGGTTAATGAAAATGTATGGAATTCTTATCTAGTCTGCTTTAGCAGGCATAATGATTTACACAGCCTGACAGCACTAGTGCTGCAAGTAAATGCATTAGTCATAGTGTCCATTTTTCTTGCAAATTTGTGACACAGATTTAATTATGGGAATGACCAGCAACTTACAAATCTAATTTTGGTAGGCTGAGCCAACTTTTTTATTTTAATAACAATGGATTTTTTAGCAATGATTTCATTACCATTTAAAGAAATCCAACCATATGGAAATAACAAATTGGCTGAACTTATTTACTTTATTTTACCTTAATGGATGTTGAATGGTTTAGGTTTGAGACTTTTTTTGTTATCATTTTTTTAATCTTAGTTATTTCTAGGATAAATATCCTTATCTTTCTTAAGCATTTCTAGTATGAACATAGTAAATATTTTTCTAAAATCAGACACATGTTTGTACACCCCTTTGTTCCATCTTAAGTGTGTCTTTGCAGTATGAAAAGGGGCAGAGCAGTCATCTGGGATTCCCTTTTTACTCTGCTAGCTGTTTACAAAGAAATCTTGCCAGGAAGTCTGTTCACAACAGGTGCTGAATTCTAGATTCAGTC